CGGGACGGGCCTTCTTTAAAACCCACCCTCAAGTGGTGTTGGGTTTTTTGCTTTGTTTGGTTTGTTTTTTTTGAAGGAAAAGCCTCTGCCCTTCCGTGTGGTTTGTGCCTCCTGCTTTGTCACCCCGAGGAGGGCTGAGAGGTTGCGGCCGGTGTGGGTAGGGAAGCCAGGCCTTAGCTGAGCAGGCCGGGCTGCGCGTCGGGTGCCTTTGAGCCAGGTTTGGGGGGCGGGCTGTGCTAACGGAGGGCCCCGCTGGTGCCTGTGCCCGTGGGTGGACCTTGGTGTGCCGTGGGGTGAAAGGGTTGGAGGGGCTGCCCAGCACAGGTGCGTGGGATTTGGGCGAAGGTAGTTGGTGAGGTGGTGGGAAGGGGCACTCGTTTCCTTTAACCTGGCAAATCATTACTAAGTGTCTGCTCATGCATTTGGCGTTCAGAAAACTCTTGCCAACTGCTGAATTGCAAGGATTTTCCTGAACACTCTCCCAGGACAAGCAGGGGGACCAAAACCACACATAAAACTTGATCAGGCTCTAAAGAGGTCTGAAAAGAGTTTCCTGTGCCCTAAGCAGCAGTCCTTTGATACTCTTCCTGTAAGAAGCAACATACCAGCTGCTATCTTTCCTCGTGTGCCGTTCTTAATTAAATGGCAATTTAAAGTCATCTTCCTTTTCCAGATGCATCCAGTCCTAAAGGCCTTTGTGTGTGGCTCCATCAGTGGGACTTGCTCCACACTCCTCTTCCAACCCCTTGACTTGCTGAAAACCCGCCTGCAAACTCCGCAGCCTGCTGTGAATAGGTGAGAGGATGAGGATCTGTATGCATGGTGGGGGGGTAGGGGTGCTCCACCACAGGCTTCTGCCTGGTTTGCTGTCCGGGGCTTGGAGTTCAGGGTTAAAAATCAGATACAGAGAGTCTTTCTGAAATAGGAGGCGTTTTTATATCATGGAGAAGGACTGATCTTTTGTTCCAGAAGAGCTAAAATGATTTGTGTTGTGAACACTAGTTTAATAATGTGTAAACAGAGCATTTATCTTCACACATGTGGTAGGTTGACACTGGCTGGATGCCAGGTGCCCACCAAACCACCTCTACCACTCCTCTCCTTAGCTGGGCAGGAAAGAGAAAATATAACTAAAAACTTGTGGGTTGAGATAAAGGCAGGGAGAGATCATTCAGCAATTATTATCATAGACAAACCAGACTTGATTTGGGGAAATTAGTTCAATTTATGACCAATCAAATCAGAGTAGAATAATGAGACATTAAATCTTTAAAAAGCCTCCCCCCAACCCTTCCCTTCTTCCTGAGCTCAGCTTCACTTCTGATTTCACTCCCTTGTCCTCTGCAGCTGCACAGGGAGATGGGGAATGGGGGTTGCAGTCAGTTCATCA